AATTTCAAGTTTATACACTCGGCCAGAATGCGCTCGCGGGGAACAGTCAGCAGTGTATACTCAGCGAAACGGCTTGCTGGTCCTCTGTTCTCGCGGGAGTCGCGGGGCTTATCATCTCTTCTTTTCTCCCCATTTCATCGAGGAGCCATAGGTTTGTCATACTTCGCGACTTTGATGTTGTCTTGGTTTTGTGAGTCACAGGCGCTGTTGACGGCCTCTTTCTTCTCGTACTGGATGTAGGCTTATGCTTTGAGGAGGAGGTTATCCAGCGAATGAGGCATTTCGATGCCAACGGCTTTGGCGAAGTCACTGCGGGGGTGCAGCCCTCGCTCGAGCAGGTATTTTTTCATACAGGATGTTATGGTGATTTGGACGGCTTCTCGGTTGAACGTCTTTATGTAGGCTTGAAGAGATTCGCCTTTCCCCTGTATGATGGCCTCGAGTAACGCCTCAGATTTCGGATGTCGTTGAGAGGCGGTAAAATTCCTGGTGAACTGCATTTCAGATCCTTCCAGGAAGTGATGGACTCCAAGGCGAAGCTTGTGTACCATGTCGTGGCACCCTTCCCCAAAATTGTAGGGAAGAGTTTGCGCTTGATGGCGCCTCTAACATTGCGGTATTCGAGCATCGCATCGATGTTTTCGATGTGATCTTCTGGGTCCATCGTTCCATCATATGTTGCAAGACTGGCAATTTTCGATCTCGATGGGGAGGGGAGTTTGCATAATCGCTCAGGACAATGGACATTGGGGGTCGTCTTCGTCGCTTCGGACCGGTGAGCGCGACGTGGAGGGTTCATGTCGAGGGCTTTTGTCGCAGTGCGACGAGTTTCTTGGTCGACCCCTCGACTTGTCTAGTTTTTCGTCGACTTTGTTCCTCTTGGGAACGGAGGAACGCCGCTCCCTGCGGGGAGGAGTATGATCACGCTTGTTAGTAATCGTATATTGTGGCATTTCTAGCCGGGATCAGAGGATTCCCACAGACGGGGGAGCAAAGGATTCCCACAGACGGTGCTACTGATCTTACCGGGATCAGAGATTCAATCAGCGGCCAGCAACACGTCGTGGACTCCAAATTCGCCGATGACGGAGAAGAAGAGGGGGTGTACCTGCAAGGAACTCCGATTCAAAAGTAAGGTTCAAAGTGAAAAAAGAGAGCAAGTACAGAGTAGTGAGAATGAATTCAAAATACCTGACCCTCTACTAAAAAGGGTATTTATAGAGACCCCAACGCTGGGCCAAAGGTCATTTGTTGTGGGCTGGATCTTAGGCCCACAACGGATGACTGCTAGGATCCTACGTAAAGTAAGGAAGATCAGCACGTGGTCTTCATCCTGGGTCAACTCCCCCCACGAACTCTTGGAAGTTGACGAATTGCCCGTTACGAAGGGCAAAACATTTCCACGAGAAACGCGGGATTAGCTAGCCACACGTCCTCAGGTGAGAACCGTGTGAGAAGCGCGTGGGGAACGTGTCATCCTGCGGTTATGATGGATTGGGTATGTTTTAAGCCTTCTTCGACGTTGAGCTGGACTGGGTTGTGCCAGACAGTGGATCAGCCTCAGGCCCAGTCTAGAACAATTTTCTTACTTAAAAGGAATCACAATGTTCTCTTAATAATTTTGAAGAATATTTGAAGAACATTATATAAATATTCACGATCATTAAAACCAAGAACTAAATAACAACACATGTCATAGGATCAATCTAGTCGATCCTGTAAACGATCAAAAATTTAGTAACTTTGAATGACTAATGGTTGTTTGACATTTTTGACGGTAAACAACAACTTAATAATATAGTTTTATTACCTAACCAACACTATTTACTTATGCATAAAGTATTGAGAAAAATCTCAAGTCTCGCATTAATTGAAAATAGAGCATTAAAAAAGTTGATATAGAGTGACCCTCATCACTTTACAAGTCGGTTGTGTAAGAATGAGTTAGACCAAACTCTAATATATTATCAAAGTGTATCAATCGGACCTTGAGCCGCCCATTGTTAATATCCACGCACCAACCCCAAACGAGTGTTAGGCGTGAGGTGTATTGAGAAAAATATCAAATTCCACGTTGATTGGAGATAAAGCATTGAAAAAATTTATATAAGGTAACATCTCTCACCTTACAAATTGATTTTGTAAAAATGAATTAGACTAAATTTTAATAAAAAATTATAACTAATTTAAATTAACAAACTCATATACACAACCATAATTGTTATTAGTTATTATTAGTCGATGACTCATTTTCATTAAACTCTTTAATTTCTTAAACACTTCGATTCTGAGTCTCTTTAATCAACAAATCTATCACGTCCGACTCTTTGGTCAACATATCTATCATGGAAAAGGTTAGCAAGTCATCCACGTAGAGACATGGAATGACAATCCCTATGCTAGTGTCTTTTGTGATCTACACTCTATGTTACGACTCACAGCTTAAGTCAATTTCAATTAAGGACACAATTATCCTTTTGTTCCAAGCCAAAACATCTATACAATTTAAGGTTAAATTGAATACTAACAATTATATATATCTGATTAAAGAATTCCGACATGTGTACTAAAATTGTCAAATAGTAAACATCGTGTTTGAGTGAAACTCCAATTTAATTTTTAAGCATCATTGTCTCTTATTTAATCTCTAAAATATACAATATAGTCGGAATTTCTTAAACAAATATATGTACAAAAAAATCCTTTGTCCTTAACAAAAATACTTGAGGTTGGTTTTGACACACTTAGAAGAGTTTTTAATCATTTTCGAAAACTTTATGAGTATGTATAGATTTAGGGGTGTGTAAAAAAATTGATTATTATTAACTAAATTAGTATCTAAATTGTTCCACTTTTAAAAATTCAAATCAAATGTTAAAATATAAATGTAGTTATTCATTTTGTTATTCAAATATAAACTAGTTTTTATAATAATAATAATGTGGTTTAATTATTGGATATCTAAATTTTTTTGTTTGTTAAACTGATATGTTTATCTCTTTTCATGCTTCTTCATATACACGTTATAAATCAATTTTATATTTTGAACTATTTTAAAGTTAATTCTTTTGAATTTTATAAAAAAAATTATTTTAAAAAAATTCAGAATTTTGTTTTTCAAAATGGAAAAAAAAATTCAGAATTTTGTTTTTCAAAATGAAAAAAAAAAATTTATTACTATAAATTATTTGTAGTTTATTCTGCATAATGACTATTAAAATTGGTAAGAATTCACGCATAACTAAAAAAATATTATATTGATTGAATTAATTCTATTACGACAATTACATAACGGTAATCAACACAACCATTATAACTACAATACTCATTCAATTTTCACATAATATAAACCAATTGTTTTTTATAAAAAAAATATTATTTTCAAAGAAAAAAATATTTTAAAACCTTATTAAATTTGTTTAAGTATTTAAATTTAAGAATTGATATAATTTAAAGGAAATAAAATTAAAATTTAACTAAATAATCAAAATTCATTTATAACCGATTTTAAATCGGTTTGGAATAAGTGGTTTGATTTATAAACCATAAGCATAAAAATGAATTGGTTTATAAACCATATATGGATTGGTTCATATTAAATGATTATCCACATGGTTGTCAAACTCGCAGGTAGACGAGTTTACGAGTCTATGAAGTAAAACGAATAGACTCACGTATAGAATCATTTTTTGATAAGTTCGAGTAGACTCTGATAGACTCGCATAAACTCGTATAGACTCGCGAGTTTATGGTGAGTTTACAAGTCTATAAATTTTTTTGAATTTTATTTTTTTTAACCCATAAAGGGCCCAAATTTCCTAAAAGATTTTATTTTATTTTTAAAAAATCCTTATTTTTTTGCTGTACGAGAATTAGAAAGCCTTTCTCCTAGTCTCTTGTTTTAGCAAAGTTTCTTCCTCCCTTTATCCCTTCATAAACGACGTGCGTTTATTATGTCTCTTGCTTTGTTCGTGTTCGTTCTCATAAATCAATCATTTGTTGTGCAAGTATTTTTCTTATATGTTTCACTTTGATGTTTCTCTTGTATATTCTCTTGTGTAAAGATAATGAATATATAGCTGAAGGGAAGTTGATGTTGTTGTTACTAATATTGTGCAAAGTGGTAGTGGTGGTGGAAATGTTGAATTAGGTGAAAATGGAAATTCAAGCAATCCAACTTTGGTTAATGATAAAGGTGTTTTATCCGAAGTAAAATTTTATAATGATACTTAAGATACCGATGAAGATGACGGTAATGATTTTACTGAAGTTTTTGATGTTTAAACCCATTAACATATTTGTTTTATGATTTTTTTGCTCTATGTAATAGTCAATTAAGAAGAAACTAATACCTTAAATTTTTAAATATATACTTTACTATTTTGTTTGTTTTATTATTGAATTTTGAAATTTATATTTTGATGTTAATTGGTATATATATATATATATATATATATATATATATATATATATATATATATATATATATATATATATATATATATATATATATATATATATATATATATATATATATATATATATATATATATATATATATATATAAAGAGGTATTTACAAGATTAAAAATACGTGTGTATGTGTCACATATAGGTTTTTAAAAGTCATTTTTAATTTTCCATAGACTTGTACGAGTCGAGTCTGCAAGTCGGATCTACGAACCCTTTACGAGTCTGAGTAGACTCACGAGTTTGACATTCTTGGATTCCCTGTCAATAATATAAAAATAAAACCAGCCACCTCTCAAGATTACACACTATTTAGCAATCTCTATTGCAAATTATTTGAGGTACAAAGCAATATTAACTTTCCTCAATTTATCACCTTCATCTCTTAAGTTCTACATTGGATTTAAGTTTGTTCCCTAGCTAGAACTTTCATGGAAATGTTACATAAGAAGTCTCAGAAAAGGAGGGGAGTGGGAGTCTACTGATATCGTGGCGATAGCTGTGTACAAGTCAAGTTTCCATATTTGTCTCCTAATGAGCAGTAGAATTCAACATCTTGTTACTTGCATACTTGAAATACGCATGTTCTGCATTCGCTAACCGACTTTGGAACATGGTCCACTCCCTCCTACATCTTTCCCTCACCTGCTATCAACATGGAAACATTAAATAATTTTATAATCAAAATTCATAAGATATATCAACTTGCAACATATCAACTGAAACATGTAAAACATACCCCCTGCCATGGTGCTTTCCCGGTTTCTGTTTTACCCTGCAAAGAACATGAAAATTGATAAGAATCTTAGTGTCATCCGTGACTAAAATTTTCAAGTTTGATATATACAATAATACTGGAATTTTTTTTTACCTGATTTCCTAGTGTAGGAACACCTTGGTGAACAATCCACTGAGCATCAACAACTCCAATCTTCTCATGTGCAGGCTATATCAGGAAAAAGAAGTTAGCTTAAAGCTCGTAAAAGTAAGAGTCATGAATTTAGAGAATGTGGGAATAAACTAACCTCAACGCATCTTCTAACAGCAAAATCAAGGCCCCACCCATGGACTAAGTCATTCTGCAATGCCAAGAGTTGTACAGTTAGAATTTATAAAGTGCTAAAAGAACCATTAAAGAAATTAGCGGGAGTCTTTTAAAATGGTTAGGATTAACCATTCAACCTGAATCATGTGCCAGACACAACGCCATGCTTCTCGTGAGAAGACTGGAGCCATAATCTCAACAAAACTGCATCGTGTCAGAGAACACACAATTATATACAACCCAGAAGACCACATAATACAATATTTATACATCAGAAGTAACTTACGCTGCACAAGGAGGTAGATGAGGGTCAGAACACCACCCCGGTTTCTCCTCCGTCACTCTAATAAAAAACACAAAAATAAATAGTTAATACACATTATCAAAATATATGAACCACGAGAAACTGTTATTAGGCTCTAATCGCTCTTACTTGTGCACTTCTTTATCTCCTCTTCTCTTTGTCATTTGCCATGTTAACCCTTTATTAGGTTCCAAACCTGGCTGTGAAATCTCCAGGCCATGCTTCTTCACAAGTTTTAAGTACCTGCACTTGAAATAATAGGGGCGTATGAAACTTTAACCAAAAATAATCTTTTAAAATATCCATCCAATATCAAATACTCACTCTTCAGCGTTAAAATGCTCAACACCCAGGTCTTCATCCCATATAAATATATAGTCATATGAAGCCACGATGTCAGGATGCAGAAACCGCTTAGCATACCACCTAGAAGGATAAAACCCCAAATAGTCAATATGATTACAAGGTTTTGGAATAGAAACTCACTTTTTTTAACTGCAAAAGCCACAATGAAAATCTGTCATCAAAAGCTACTAACATACTGGCTTCTTACCATTTGGTCTGTTTGCGACCACTCACATGAATAGCCTTCTTTGACCATTCAAACTCATCCCATTCATTAGTTCGACCATCATAATGAAATAGAAGGATGGTGAAGTTCTCTGAAAACTGTTCAAGAAAATATTTAGTTAAAAGAGACATCAACAAGCGCACTCAAACAGATAGAGCAAGAGACTGAGAGAGACCTTTTTCACAGCTGCGTCAATATTTTTTTTCATATCGTAGCCAACAGTGAAGGTCACAAGGTACTTTGGCTTGAACGTTAAATCCTGCAATTGCCAACTTAATTAAATCTTTTGTCCAGTTGCACGTTTTATAAGTTTTCCTTAAATGGAAGAAAAATCTAACGAAATTTTACTATGACATTTGGCATTTACACACCTCACTGGGTTTGCCCCACAATCTACGCAAGTAAAAGTCCGACTCAGCTTCAACAATGCCAGGAGGTAAACTTTCAGCTCCTCTTGGATTTGATGGAACCCAAATCTGTAGAGAAACAATAAAATATGGAACATGCAATTGATCAATATAGACTTTAAACTATCCACTTTCCCAATATTATATAAAACAAAATCATTTTCAGAAGCCCTTATAAATAGTGTATTAATGATTATCAAACAAGCATATGAAAATGTCACTATTTTCTTTCCTCTCAATTCTAGAAGGCATGGAGTCGTCAACAAACCTGATCCCTATAAACCCGGGAACTTAGAATGTTCTTATCGTAAAGCACAGTGTGTACCTTTGATGTACCACTTGATGAGCGATTTGGTGAAGCTCTTTTATTATTATTGTTCATAAAAGACCAAGCTTGACGACCTGAATATCTGTCTTCAATGTACGAGAGATCAATTGAGGGAAGCAAGCCAGATGGAAGATTGAACTGCAAAATGTTATGCAGTATGTACTATATAAGCATTGGTTTTATTTAGTCTAATTAAAAAATAAATAAATAAACTACTATAGCACAAGGTAAAAGGAAGAAGATACTAAATCTGTACCTTTGTTAATGACAATGTGGGAAATGACACTCCTAGAAAGAAGCCAAAAACTACTCCAATAAAAGTTGACACAATAAGCCTCATAATTTCACTTGGTTTTCTACCAGTAGAACTAAAACCAATGAAACAGAAATGTCACACAATGGAGTTTATAACGTAAATAAGCATACACAGCTTTTGTCAAGAGCAAACAAGATCACCATTGACCAGACCTGCGTGTAACGGTCCCCATTTATATCCAAACTTCCCTAGCTGTATGCTCATAAATCTATATGCAGAAGTCACACTTCACCATTCATTACTCCGTCTAAGAAACAAAAAATGCTTGTTTAAAGAAGAAAAACCCCTGGTGAAGAAATAAATAATAAAGAAAAAAGATACATTAATAACCGGAACCAGATAATGGTGCAAACTTCAAAGAGCATAAGGGATAATAATTTTAAGAAAACAAAATAATATAATCTACGGCATGTGGAATCTCCTAATATCACTAATGATCCTCAATATGTCGGGGATAATCACAGTCAGATTAGTTTACTTCTAATCATAGTGACATTCTGTTGAACTATTCCAACATAACACGACTATTAAGAAAGTGAGAGCGCCTTTGGAAGGCACAGTTTAGAAATGTTCAAGTTTCCTAGAAGCAACAACAAAGGAACCAAATATATAGCAGTCGATGATGAAAACCGACAAATGAAATGAACCATAAGCAAGAAATAAACCTCCAAAATTAGCTCAAAAGGTTAAAAAAACTCGTGATATCGTTGAGGGAAACATGAAATGCCTTGAACATGATAATGATCCCAAATGAGAAGCTCCCCAATTACAAAACCATGTCGAAGTTTCTATGAAAACGTTAAGTGTCAATGGGCTAAACGTTCAGGATCCAACGGACCTCAACACCACATATCCACCCAAAACCTTAAGGCGTGTATGAATCCTTTCTCTTATATATCAAAACATTTCCTCCATTTCTAGTCGAAGTAAGACTTAACCGCTCACACTTGCACTCAACCATTAGTAGCAGATGAGGAAAACCAACCAGTGAAATGAACCATATGCAAGAAAACTCTTACTTTTCCTCTATAACCTCAGAAATTAGCTCAAAAGGTTAACCAACTCATATGATCTTCAAGGGAAACATGAAATCCCTTGCACATAATAATGATCCCAAATGAATAGGTCCCCATAAAAAAACACGAACTACCACCAAAGAATAGATTCAATTCAAATAAACAAAAAGAAAAAAAAAACATTAAAAAAAAAATTGTCATATTTAGAAACAAAATCAGGCAATCAAAACGGGCACAAAATTTTCTAGTTAAGATGAAATAATTATATCAACTATCATAATAATCAAATAGCAATAACTGCATCTATTAATAACTAGAAGGATCGTAATTTTCTCAAAAACTAAAAGGATGTGATGAAGTAACAAGAGTTCAGAATTGCAGAAACAATGAATTGTAGAAAGAAGAAGAAAACGTACCGGAAATAGCAGGGTTTAGATAGATGAAGATCTGAGAAAAACAAAAGGAAGGTTTTAGAGTGAAAAGGTGAGAGAAACAAAATCCGAGCTGGTGAAGTGGAAGAAGAGAGCGAACGGAGGGTGAATTTTGGTGGCGGCAGAATGGAATGGTGAGTTTTTGAGGTTGGGTTTTATAAGCATGAAGCGCTAACAAACAAGATCTTTGTGAGTTTGGAATTGGAACAAGAGGGTTCGCGGTTTTGGATCCTTTTTCTGTTTTTGCTTTTGGTTTTAGTTGGGTTTATGTTTCCTTCATCTTCCACAATTTTGTTGAGTTACTAATATACACACAAAAATTTCAACATTTAATTTAAGTTAAAAATTTTACAAATCAGTTTTATAAAGTTGAATTAAATTATTAAAAGTCTCGTTTAATAAACACAGACTTTGAAAGTGTTTAAAATAGTAATGGTTAAGTAATAATATTTAGCAAAGTAATATTGTAATAGTTGTAATAGATACATATGAATATAATGGATGAACATAGGATTAGAATCTTTAACTTTAGAATGACAAATATATAAAAAAAATTGTATAAATAAATTTTAAATATGTATAACTGATATTTAGTATTTCAAATATAATATTTACCTTAATATCCAATTAAGTGTCTCCTTTTAGATGATCACAATTATATTTTTTACTCAATTATGTAATAATTTAGTTGTCTTTAATAGAAGTTTGTAGACAACATAATGTCAAATAAAATGTTTCATTTTTTTTAATATGTCGAGATTGTTATAAATGATATGATTATCAATATCTATAAATAAGTGGATTTCACAATACATACGATCTATAAATAAAATCCATATTGTATTTGAAATTAATATTTAAAATGTAGATAATAAAATACATACTCTTTTCTCTCTTCTCTTATTTTATTTTATTTTATTTCATAACTTATTATCAACCCAAAAATTTATCAAAGTTCTAACTATTGAAGGTAATATTAGTTATATTGACTCTTTCTTTTATTCTTTTCATTTCTATTTCTTATTTTAAATTTTGATTATATATTATTTTATTATATTATCAAACATTTTTGAAGGATGATAAAATAACGAGTTATATATATATATATATATATATATATATATATATATATATATATATATATATATATATATATATATATATATATATATATATATATATATATATATATATATATATATATATATTCTGAAAAGCGTATGATACATCTTTGAATGATAGCAAAACAATATTTTGTTATATAGTTTTTGAAGAACTTATAAGTATCTTTAAAGGATTGTTATATAGTTTACGAAGAACTTATCAAGTATTCGGAAGGATAGAAAAAAAAGTTGTTAATGATACATCTTCTCTTTTATATAAGAGATTATTTACTATTTAGATTCATTGAATAATTAATATATTTAGTCTATAAATTGACCAAATACATTGATTATTCAATGAATCTAAAAAATGAGTTGTCTCTTATATAAAAGAACGGAGGTAGTAATTCTTAAAGAACTTATCAAGTATCCTGAAAGATAGAAAAAATATTATTATATAATTTCTGAAGAACTTATCAACTATCTTGGAAGGATAAAAACTGTAGTTCAACATAGGCGTAAGCAGTCTCCGAAAAAGCGGAGGCTGCTGAAAAAACTGTAAAAGACCTCCTAGAGGAAAATTTTATATCGGAAGCCCAGTACACAACCTGTCTGTCCAACGTTGTACTAGTTAAGAAACATAATGGAAAATAGAAAATGTGTGTTGACTATACTGTTCTCAATCGGGCATGTCCCAAAGATGCTTACCCATTGCCTAACATCGACAAACTCGTCAACAATTATGTAGGTTTTAAACTGTTGTCATTCATGGACGCGTACTCGGGATACAATCAGATCCCCATGGCGAAGGCCGACAAGCAATACACGGCCTTCATGACTGAGTCGGACAATTATTACTATAATATAATGCCCTTCGGTCTGAAGAACGTCGGGGCGACCTACCAAAGGATGATGAACAAGGTCTTCCGCGGAGAAATCGGGGACATGCTTGAAGTTTAGATGGACGACATGATCGTGAAGTCACGAGAAGAGGTCGACCATACCGCCCATCTCAAGAAGGTCTTCAAAATGGCAAGGAAGTGCAGGATGAGGTTCAACCCTAAAAAGTGCACATTCGGCGTACGAGCAGGCAAGTTCCTTGGTTTTTATCTAACAGAACGAGGAATAGAAGCCAACCCGGACAAGTGTAGGGCCTTCTCCGAGTTCGCCACGCCGAACACAAAGAAGTCTATCCAGTCACTAAATGGGATGCTCGCGTCTTTATCGTGATTCATCGCCAAGTCTGCACAGCATGCCCTCCCCTTCTTTAAACTGCTAAGCAAGAAGGCCACATTCAAATGGACTGAGGAATGCGAACAAGCTCTCCTCCACCTCAAGCAAGTCCTCTTGGAGCCGCCAGTGCTGTCGAGATCCATGGTTGGGGAAACCTTATACCTATATCTCGTTGTCGCCACAGAAGTCGTCAGCGCAGCACTGATCCGCAAAACTCCCGAAGGGCAAAAGTCGATATACTTCATGAGCAAAGCCCTCCAAGGGCCTGAGCTCAGGTACCAGCAGATTGAGAAGGTCGTTTTTTCCCTCATCAACACGGCCAGAAGGTTACGACATTACTTCCTAGCCCATAAGATCATAGTCAGAACCGACCAGCCTATCAAACAACTGCTCGGGCGACTAAACATGTCGAGAAGAATGCTCAGATGGTCACTCGAACTCTTCGAATTCTACATCCAATACGAAAGCAGAAAATCCCTCAAGGTTTAAGTCCTGACCGACTTTATCGCCGATATGGCTTCTACAGAATCCCCAACCCCTGGGGCGCACAAATGGACCATCTTCGTCGATGGCACCTCTAGCTCGACGGGAAGTTGAGCGGACATCATACTGGAAAACAAAGAAGGTATCCTGATATAAGTCTCCCTCGCCTCGGCGTTCCTAATGTCGAACAACCAGGCCGAGTATGAAGCGTTTCTCACAGGACTCCGTCTGGCTCAAAACCTTGGCGCGAATGAGGTAAAAATCTTTACCGACTCCCAGCTCGTGGCATCCCAAGTACGGTGAGAATATCAAGTCAAGAACGATAACCTCGCCGAGTACCTCTCTTTGGTAAGAGAAAGAATGAAGAGCTTCAATTTCGTAGAGGTACAACACGTTCTAGGCGAACACAACACCCAATCAGACAGCTTGTCAAAAATGGCTAGCACGAAAAGGAAGGGCGAAAACAAATCCGTAATCCATGAAGTCCTCTCTCACCCCAGCATTGAAAGAGGCACGATAACTGCCGAGGTAAACATTATTGGTGACAATGACTGCTGGATGACCCTTGTGTACACCTACCTCAGCATGGGACGCCTGCCTGACGATGCCAAAGAGGCAAGTATGGTTAGACGTCAAGCCTTCTCATACATCTTGATCGAAGACAAGCTGTACAGACAGGGATTCTCCATCCCCCTCCTCAAGTGTGTCGATGAATCCAAAGTACCAGGCATACTCCGAGAGATCCATGAACAAATCAACACCCAACACCTCGGCGGAAGATCACTTTCCCGCAAGGCCCTAAGAGAAGGATATTATTGGCCCACCATGTAGCAAGACGCCAAAGAGCACGTCAAGAAGTGCAAAAAATGTCAACGGTAAGGAGACATGCACCTGGCCCCGCCAAAC